GCTGCATGGGGTTGTTGTGACCCAAGTGCAGGACCCGGCACTTGTCCTTGTTGAACCTCATACAGTTGGCCTTGGCCCATCGATCCAGCCTGTCCAGGTCCCTCTGCAGAGCCTTCCTACCCTCGAGCAGATCAACACTCCCGCCCAACTTGGTGTCGTCTGCAAACTTACTGAGGGTGCACTCAATCCCCTCATCCAGATCATTGATAAAGATATTGAACAAATGTGGCTGCATGCAGAGATCTGCAAAATTGCTGAAGACTTCTTAACAGCAGTGGGCAATAATGTCATCAGTGTGCCCTTGTACAAAAAATACATTGGTCAAAGAAGACTTCATACCTAGCATAGCCTCTGGTTAATCAGTTTTCCTGGAATTACTATGGCAGCTGGTTCTGTTCAGTATATATCAAATCCCATAATATAATTCATTTGGTGAAGTCCAAGGAAGAAGACAACCAGAAGGTGCACTATAGCTCTGCCATATGGTTCCAATTTTATCAGACTCTCCACAAAAAGGAAAAACCCCCCAACCAAAAAAAAAAAAAAAAAAGGAATAAATATGCTTGGGGGTAGAGAAATGAAGTATTTCCCCAAACAGGCATTGTAATGATTACTGAGGGCAAAATTTAGTTTTTTAGAATTAATTTTATTTAAAAATTACTCCTTAGTAATGGAAAGATGTTCTTACACCTACTTATGACAAAAGGCATTGCTACAAGAAGTTCCACATAGTTTAAATGAGAGTTACTATTTCTCTCTAAAGGTATCAATCCCCGTTTGGACCTCTCTCTCTAGTTGCACAAGAAAGTCCAGCCCACCACTCAATTTTATTAATAAAATCCAGTGGTAAAAATGTCAGAGTGACTTTTTTCACAATTATTTTTCTTTTGAGGATCAAAACAACAGATACTGTATTTTCTACTTTTACAAGAGGGAACTGTGATTGGTAGAAGCTTTCACAGAGCCCATCTCAGCATTAGCTGTAAAAGAATTGGCATCTCAAACCAGTATTCCCTGAACAACTGTTATATTGCAAAAGCCATTTCTATGACTGCTCACTGGAAGGTATCATTAATCAGCGCCTGTTTTGGGGGGGTGAGAAAAGAAGCCCAGAACTGAACAGACACAGAAACTGAATTACTGTCTTAACTTTAGCCAAAAACCTTACCCAGAATTGACAACTGTAATTGGGCATAGATTACCCTCAGTCAATATCAAGGGAATGTTTTAACAGGATAAGCCTGCTTGGAGTAGTGTAACTGAAGAGACATCTCTTTTCCAGAAAAGGGGCAAAACCAGCTGCCACGTTGAGCTATGGGCCTCAGGACAAGGGGCAGCTGGAAGCAATCTCGACATGCGACTGGGGAATTGCTGGGGATTTTGACAGGTGGCTTGAGCAAACTGGACAGGCTGCAGCAAGCACAACTCTGCTGATGCTACTCCAGGTGTAGCCAACTGTGTATAACGAAAGACTTCTCCCACAAGTGGTGTCCAGCTGGCACAGCTCACTGCCATTACATTCACTTCCAGGGAAAGAAAAGAACGGCCTTTAATCTTGCACTGTAAACCACCATCACTACCCCACTAGCACATATTCATTTCTAATGGTAAGCATATCATTCCTCCCAGCTCACAAATGAGGTAGCTGAAATGAAAAGGACTTGGTGAAAGTCATAGAGCAAATCCATGTGGGAGATAAGGAAATAATTTGGTTACTTGATTTCCAGCCCATGAGCTATACATATTTCCTACCATTCATGGTGTGAACTTTACACTTCAGCTCTCCTTTAAGGAACAGACACTTAATTGGAGACGTAATTGTCTCTGGCTACTTGAAGCAGTGATTCCCATCTATACTGCAGTCTTATTGGTGATTTCTTCAAGTATTTTTGCATCCTGTTTTATCTCACCTTTCCATCATGATACTCTATTTTTTCCTGCACCTCTTCTTCACTTTTTCTTCTTTCTTGATGTAACACTGATCTTCTAGACAATATTGATTTTGGAGGCTATATTATGAAAACATCACAGTCAGTGTTGTATAAACAGAAATGTTTTTAACATATTTTCATTCATTTTAATCAACTGTGCAAAAGACATTTACTTTCACACACACAAAGGAAAGCTGCCCTTCTTTCTGGTATTGCCTTGCATTTGTAATGAATTTTGATCTTTTAGTCATAACTAGAAATGTTGCACATTAACTCCAATTAACTTCAGTTTGCAAAACAAAAGATAGCATAGAGAAAGTCCAAAAATGAGGGTACAAGAGTGCGTTCTGGCGAAACTACACTATAGGAGATGGAGAGAATAAACACAAGAACAAAGAACAGAACTGTGTCTGAATATTGGGTTACTGATTTGCAAAGTAATAAAGTACCTGTATTAGCTAAATCCACTCTTCCAAAACAAATTACATGGTTCTTAGCTGTAGGTAATGCTAACTATGCAACTAAGGGCTATTCAGGATGTTACACATTCATTTTACTGTTATGAGTGCTCTTTGCACTGTTTGGCAGCATAAAGGAGCCTTAAGTTAATTCACATCTGGCACATAGCATCCAGAACAGTTACTAACTAATGTTAATTACAGTTTGAAGATGTGATGTATTTTGAATTGTGGGATCCAAAGGAACAGGGAGTACTGCTCACCACAGGGCAATGATATGCCAGTATATCCAGTAAAAAGCTGTAAACACAGTGCCTGAAGTTGCCAGATCCATCCCTAAAGCTCTGTGTCCGTTGTGTAGCAGAGGAAATGGGAATGGAAGATTTTCTTTTTCTTAGTGTGTTTTATTTCAGTTCACAAATGGAAAGAAGACAGTTGCTGATCATATAAGAGCCAGAACCATAAGTTGCTCAAACCTTTGCTTCAGCATCCAGAAAAGCAGGAGAACTGTCTGTAGGTACTTTGTTGTCATATGTAGTTATGCCACTTCTCCTGTGTGTGGTTACAAAAGGCACTTTATTCTGAGGTTTTAGTGATTTTTCTGTCTTTTTAAGATTAAGAGTCTCTTCTTCCTGAGCCAAAATTAAAATGTTAACTAGCAACATATATCTGTTAATGTCCAACAGTTGTGCAGGAATATCTTGATAAAGAAACCGACTACATTATTTGTAAGCCATTGCAATATTATTTTAAAGAGTGTACTTATCATGAGTAAAGGCAAGAAAATAAAGCCAGGAGAGTGTTGTTCCCAGCTAAATGGGAGTTAGCATGCTGTATATGAAAACCAAGATCACAGACTCACTGAATTATTTTATAGAGTTACATGGTGAAATACCTCTGTTTCTTCATTGTTACCGCAGAGTGCAAAGCTGCAAGTGTTGTTGCTGTGGTTATGTGAGAGGGGCATGTCTTCTGAGCTATCTGAAATGGGCAAAGACCTGCCTATGAGAAAAAGCAAAGTAAAAGGGATCATTGAAAGCATATGAAACTTGCTGAATCACATGTTTCCATACCTGTCTCAGAAGTTTTTTAAAGATGCTAGCTCTCAGATTCTTGTAACACATTGCTTCTTATACAGATAATATTTGCTAACAGCTTGCCCATCCTCCCGAAGGTGCTTTGTCCTGGGCCAAAAAGTGCAGACCACGTCCATTCTCCACCTTCTGGGCTTCCAGGATGTCCTGGGCCAAAAAGAAGTGCAGACTATGTCCATTCTCCACCTTCTGGGCTTCCAGGACAACAAACTCAATGAGTAAGTTGCAGGCAACAGCACAATTTGTTCTCCCTCTCTTGTAAAATATAAATTTTATAATTCTTCTAAGAATCATAGGAGAGTTTTAGTGACAACATGTTGCCTGTGAGCCAAGAGCTGGGGACCAGTGTCTCCAAGTCATTTGCAGACCACTCTAAGCAGGCAGAAAGTTCCCACAACTCTTACCTTTTACATAGGAAGATGAGTTAGGCTCCTTAAA